GGGGAAATGGGGAGATGTTGGTCAAAGGGTACAGAGTTGCAGTTATGCAGAATGAATAGGTTCTGGAGATCTGTACAGCATGATGACTATAGTTACTAATGGTGTATTGAATACTGGAAATTTGCTAAGAGACTAGATTTCAGGTGCTCTCACTACACACACAAAAAAATGGTAACTATGTGAGGAGATGGATATATTAATTAGCTTGACTGGGGTAATCATTTCACTATGTGTGTGTGTATATATATCTCAAATCATCACGTTGCACATCTTAAATGTATATAATTTTTATTTTAAAAATAAAATAAAAATAAATGTGCCCTGTTTCCCCTCGAGTAGGGCTAGAATTTTGATTTCATTAATTTACTGACACTGATAGAATATCATTCCATTAATTTAATCCTTCATTTATGTCCATCAATAAATTCTTATACTTCACTTAAGTTTTAGCTATTTTCTGTTTATTCCTAGATATTTTAAATATATATCATAAATATGATATTTATACTTTATTTGAATGGGTTCCTTTTCTCATTACAAGTTCTAATTGGTCGTTGCTAGTGTGTAGGAAATCTGTGGATTTGTGTATGTTTACATCTTGTAACCAGACACCTTACTAAACCCTCTTATTACTTCAAATAGTTTTTCAATTGATGTCTTCTGTTCTCTAGGTAGACATTATAATCTACAAATAACAATAATTCTCTCTTCCTTTCCAATATTTGTACTTCATTTCTTTTTCTTGTCTTTTTACACTAGCTTGAACCTAGAGTAAAATGATGAATAACAACGGTGATGGTGGGCATCTTTGCCTTGTTCCTGCTATTATATGCTTCTAGCATTTTAACCTTAAATTATCTTTATTAGGTTACAAAACTTTTCACTGCATTTTTATCTTACTAAGAGCTGTTAGAAAGAATGTATGTTGAGTTTTTCAAATGTCTTTCTTGTACCTAATGAGATAATCAAATGGTTTTCTTCCCTTAACCTATTAATGTAATTAATTGTATTAGTAAATCTGTTTAAGTTTAACCATATTTCTTTATGTTCTTAGAATAAACTCTACTTGTTCATGGTGTGATTTTTAAACACTGCTTGATTTAATTTACCAATATCTTATTAGGATCTTTGCATCTGTATTCATGTTTGAGATTGGTTCATAACAGTATTTCCAAAAACGTATGCCACAGGGATTAAGAGGAATGGTGGGAGCACCTACAGTAAAATAAATTTCAAAAATTGTGGATTAAACAAAACAAAATAGTATTCTGTAGGACTACACCATATCATATATTAGGGCTCTCTGAAGGAAGGCAATTTTATACAGCATCTCAACTTACATGACAAAATAGCTTATTTTCTGGAGCATTTTAAAGGACTACTGTTCAGTGAGAAACATTGGAAAATGTTGATCTTCTTTGCTTTCTGTCAGGTTGTAGCATCATGGTTATTCTGGCCTCATGAAATCATGAAATGGTTGGGAATCTCTCTGGGTTTTTTTTTTTCTTCTATACTCTAGATCAGATTACATAACATGGGAGCGGTCTGTTGCTTGAAAGTAACATATTTTCCTTGAAAGTTATTGATTCCATCTAGGTTTTCAAATGCATTGGCATACCATTGTACTTAGTATAATTTTAAAAACTCTGTATTGGTGGATAGAAACCTCTCGTTTGTAATGTAATATTTTTGTGTTTTTTCTTTCCATTATTCAGAGATGTTAGAGGTTTGTCTAGTTTTATCAGCATTTTCAAAAAAACAGTCCTTGGCTTTATCAATTTTTCTTTTCTGCACTCTAATTTATTTTTATTTACATAAAATTATAGTCTTTTTTCACGTGAGTGAATATTTTTCTGGTTCTTCATATGCCAAGTAATTTTTAATTGTACTCTGAACATTTAGAATATTATGCAACTCTGGGTCTTGTTTAAGTTCTATGGAGAATGTTGAAATTTTTGTTGTAGCTGACAATTTATCTGGATGGGTTCAGGTCACATGTTCCAATCTGGCCTCTGTGGGCTGTCATTTCAATGCCATTTCAGTTTTCAAAGCTTTTGCTGAGCACCTCAGATCTTTCCTGTGTTTGTGCACCATCCAGCGGCCAGTGTGGAAACTGGGTAGTGATCTATCCTTTTGTTCAGTTCTCGAAGTCTTTGTTACGCTGATTACAAACACATACAGAACACAGGAGTTCATAATCACTATGGGGTGCTTTCCCCAGCTTCTCCCTTTCTATGTGTCTCACCCAAGAATTTAATTCTTTTTAGCGCCCCTTTCTACTTTCAATAGTGTCCCGGCTTGGTTGGGATTTCTGACTGGAGCACAGAAAAGGAAAGCCCCAAGGAACTGTAAATTACTAGGCATAATCAGTGCAAAGATGGTATTCCCCAAGATGAGACTGGATGATTCCTCAAATACATAGAAAAGAAGTCTAAGTAAACCTTGGGGAACACCAGAACCTAGAGGTCAAGAAGACTGAAGAACCAGCACATGAAACTGAGAAGCAGCAGGCAGAGAGGTGGGAGGAAAACCAGGCAAGTATCTTAGAAACCAAGGAGAGAGTGTTAAAAGGAGAGAGCAATCAACTGTGTCAAATGCTCCTGATAGATCCAATAAGATAAAGAGGAGAATTGACCACTGGAGTTAGCAATGTGCAGGTATGGAGACCTTGACAACAGCAGATTCTGTGGAGGGTAAGCATAGAAAACCTGGTTTGGAGGGAACAGGAGGAAAAAAATGGAGATTAGAGTACAGGCAACACTTTCGAGGAATTTTCTCTGAAGGGAAGAGAAATGAGGATGACAGCCTGAAGAGAAGTCAGGCAAGAGAGAATTTTTTTAAGATAAGATTCAGTGGAGAAAAATTGAGGATATAGGAGAGAGGAATTGTCTGGGAGAATCTTCTCTTTAATCTTCATTCATAGTAACTGGAGGGGAAGTAGAATACAGGTTGTTCTGTTATGTACTACAAGGCAATGCATGCACTCCTAAAAAAATTTAACATTCTCCAAAATTGCCCATCAGCTGTTATGGGTTGAATTGTGTTCCCCCAAAAGATACGTTGAGGTCTTAACCCTCAGTACCTGTGACTATGACATTATTTGGAAATAGAGTCGTTGGCAAATGTAATTAGTTAAGATGAGATCGTACTAGAGGAGGGTGGGCCCCTAATCCAATATGACTGGTGTCCTTATAAAAAGGGGACATTTGGACACACTGATCTGCACACAGGGAAACCACCATGTGAAGATTGGAGTGATGCTGCCACAAGCCAAGAAATTATCAGAAGCTGGGCAAGAGGCTGGGAACAGATCTTTCCCTAGCACCCTCAGGGGGAGTGTGGCCCTGCTGACACCTTGATTTCAGACTTCTGCCTCCAGAACTGTAAGACAATAAATTTCTGTTGTTTAAGCCACTCAGTTTGTAGTACTTTGTTACAGCAGCCCTGGCAAACTAATACAGCAACAATAATAAGGCCTAAGGGAAAAAACCAATTTGGGGCCTATCACTTAAAACTGATGCGGTCATTGGTACCTGGGAGATAACATGTGCGCTGTCCAGGCCAGAACTTGGTTGACTGGAGGCTGCCCCCCAGGATGTTAAAAACGTTCCACACTGCCAGGAAATGCTTATAATGCTTCTAATGTTTCCGTTGGGGGCTGAGGAGGATGGCACCGAGTCAGTGGGACAACCACGGAGGTAGGCACAGGGGGCAGAGCAACCTGCCAGCAGAGTGCCACAGGCTGGGAGCTTTGCTCACAGAAGGGGGCTCCCATACAACAGCTTCTTTTTTTCTTTTTTTGTTTTAACTTTTGTTTTTGTTTAGTTTTCTTAAAATACAGCCCAATGTGCTCCTTCGGGTGTTGGTTATAATTCTTCTCCTGCTAGTCTGACTCCTTTTATCTAGAAAAAAGCCTGAACCAAAGCCAGCTTGTGTTATACTGATGTCAGCCTCTATTTACCAATCTAACGTGAGGGAAGTAACAGCAAATGGTTATGAATATAGGCAGACGGTGGGTAGACAGATGGATGGTGGAGTGCATGTTGATTCCTCTGGTTGCTTGGATCTTCTTGGGCAAATAGGAAGCAGCGGCATGAGCTGAGAGCAAGAATAGGAGGGAGTGTCAGGTTTGGGGCCAGAGAAGGCAGGAAACAGTCCCGCAGAGTGGGGGAGTGGAGGGATGAATGCGCAGCATCACTGCCCACTTGCTTCTCCTGCCTTTTGTCTTCCAGGGCCATTTTTATCGTCTTGGAACTTGACCACTCCTCCCCTAGGATAAAATCTATTTTCTCTAGGACCTTCTTTCCCCATCATCTCATCTGCACAGACTAGCCAGAAATCCAAGGTCAGTCCTAGACCTTAGTCATCTCTTGGGTAGCTGAGGACCAAGTGGAGAAGATGAGCGCAACCACAGCCCACTTTTTAACCAAGCACTGGTGTCAGTGTTTCAGTGTGACACCAAATACATACTGAAAAGCTAGCGTTGTCACTTTGCTCTGGTATTACAACCAATAGTTAGAGTTGAAAATTAAATATCTTGGGTCAATTAAAATTTAACTCTTAAGCCACCTCTGGCCTACTTGACTGAGAAGAAATTATTACCCAACCTAGTCCCGACAGGGGCTGAAGGAGCCAGGGATGTGAGTATTGAGGAAAGTGTTATCTGCTGACCTTTGGCTTTTTAATTTCTGTATTTTTCCTTCCTAGAATCCATGTTTGATCTGGGGAAAATAAGCTGCTTCAGTCTAAGATGTGTTTACTTGGGGAGCTAAAGGTTCTAGAAGAAATTTCCTATTTGGTCATGGCCTGCCTCCAAATAAAGTATCCCCAAAAGGCAAGCAGAGTTGTCACACAATCAACTAAACAAAAAAATTATTTGAAAACCATGGCCAAGAGGCATGATCCTTTATAAACAAACTACTCAAGGATGGACCTGTGCACACTAGGTCCATTCTTTTTATTTAATGTGGCTATAACCAAATCTGACATCAGACGAGAGAGAGGGACACAAACAGAAATTCTTTAATTGAGCTTTTGAGGCACAATCCACAACTGAGTTTTCATGTGCAGATGAGAATCCTGGGCCATCTGCTAACAACTCAAACAAGAAAAGCAGCTCTATGCACATAATACATTAACCAATTTCTCCAGCCTCAAACACTTCCAGTCTCAAACTGTTGCCTTCTTACAACTGGTCACGTGAGTATTCCCTCGCAACAGAAGGGTATTAATATATAGAAAATACAGTTATTAGCAGGCTCATCTACTCTATGATGCTGGTTGTAGTCAGTTATAAAATTTCAAAATAAAAAGTGTAAAAATGAAAAACGTTATCAACTAGTTTTGGCCACAAAACTAAAAAGTCACTCTGCAATGACTTCACAGTTTCACTAAATTTATGGCATCACTTGGTTTTCAGTCAAGGAGGAAAAAAGCTCTCTAATCCATTGTAGAATTATAAAATCTCTCAGTTGATGCCTTACTTTCACCTAACCCAGACAGAAATGCTCCCAATCTGGCCCTTTAAAATATCTGCACTATTACTACCTTTTTTTGCAGAGGCAGTTATTACTTAAGGAGCCCTAGAAAAGGAACCAGAGAAGCAAGTAGGCCATTGTCAAAAACGGGGCCAGGATTGTGCAAGATTCAACAGGTTATGAGAGGTGTTCAAAACCCCTTCTTCATTTGAGGTGGGGAACTGATCTTGGATCAGCTTTTAAGCTGGGTTTCCCTGGAAATCTGATGAAAGTGGACTGTCAGCTGTGTAACCAAGGGAGCCAGCTTCTGGTCAAAAGCCCTGGGTGGTACCCTGCATCTGGGCTGGGAGAACCTGCTAGGAGTCACAGCTCAGGCTCCCCGAGCACGGTATACCTCTTGTTCCTGGGCTCTGTCCCTGGCTGGGACCCAGCCTATGCACAAGGGACTGTTGCAGAGTGGTCCCTTATGGCTTCTAAGCCAGGGTGGCTCTTGTACCCATCTGTGTAGTCTGTGGGAACTGCTGCAAGAATTCCCACAGAAGAATTGTGCCCAAAGCCACCCCTTGGTGTCTTGCCTGTCCCATGTCCTTCAGAGTAAACTGGTGTCAGACATGGCCTATCCAGATCTTGAGAGTTTAAATGTGTAGTTGAACCCAACACTAGCTGTGACGGGTGTTGCACATGTCTTCAGCAGTGTCTTCACAGACAACATAATCCCACATTAGCACCAAATAGGCACAGACATGGCTATCAAAGGATTATAGGATTAGAACCAACTAAGACAAACTTTTAAGAAATGGTTCAAGACCATTAAAGGTATCACTGAGGTTTAGGGCAGAGAATAGCAAACATACAGAGAAAGGAGAGCACTCATTTGTTGAGGGATTGAACTTAACATTTTTATCAAACTTAGTTATTAGCTATTTCTAAATAAAAGAGCAAGGCATCATGGTACAGAGGAAATTGGCCCAGGAGCTGAATCTGGGTCTCATTCTGGCTACTCGGCCTTGAATAAGGTCCTTGCTTCTGCAGCCATCAGTGTCTATATGGAAGAGGATGGGAGGGACAAGCAGGGGTGATAAATTGTGCCTTCCATCATCCCCTGCTATCACTATTGACAAAACTACTCTCAGTCAACCCCAGAAAATAAAACGCTATAATCTTTGACTTCTTAATTCCATTTTCAGTAATCTAGTCTCAGGAAAAATCCTAAATACAAGAAAAAGCCTTATGTAAAAATGTAAACTCCTGGATCATTTGTTACTTTTAATAGAGAACAAAATTTAACAACAACCCAAATGTCTAACTGTGAATCACAGTTTACTATACTCACCCATTAGAATAGTGCAATGATACTAGTAAAATAATGTTAACATAATAGTATTATATAATAAGCAAATTTTATGTTAAGTAAAGAAAGTAGGATAAAAACTATAAAGACAATTTTTTCAATTATTTTTTTAAAAAAATCTATGCATATAAAAAGAAAGACACAGAAATGTTAAGGGGGACTGTAAGTGGAACTTAAATGTCTTTTCTTCCTCCTATTTTCTAAATGTTCTCAAATGAACAGCTGTTTCATGATGGAAAAAGTTAAATTTTAGTTGCATTTCCAACATATTTGTTACTTGGCATCAAGTTTTGTAGTCAATCTTTTGCCCATATCCTCTCTGGGTATACTGTACTAATATTAAGATTAACCTTGAAAATATTGTGTCAAATCAGGACGGTTACGTTATTCTGAAAATGTAAACCATTATAAGAGAAACGATCTGGCAGAGGCAAGATTTAAATATCTTTCTTTTATTTAATTAACAGAGAGCCTAATACTGTTCCTGACACACACTGGGTGTTTATATATATTTGTTGAAAAATTAATTTTGCTCTGTAATTCCTATCTCTAAAAAGCTGCATTCCTTCATATTGCCTGGAACACCTAAAAATTCTATTTAGATTTTCAGGGACTTAAACTAAGACAAAATAAAGATCTTCTGAGCAAATCATTCCTGTCTTAATATGAACAGGGACATTTTGTACCAATATACTTATCATAATAAAGTTTGGGGAAAAATTGCACTTATAATATCGCAAGATGTTTATAAACCTCAACTTCTAAAATACAAGAATTTAAAATTATAAAACAAAAACTGACTCGAGGAACTTTGGTATCATTCAGATTTAACGCCTTAATTGTTTGCCTATCTGTATTCCTTTTAAAGGGATTTTATGTTGTTTCTACAGACATAAGAAATTCTTGGGACACAGTAGGTGTATGTGCAAGTAAATAAACTTTACAAATATGTGAAAAGACCCATGTTAACTTTAGAAAGGATAACATGAAAAAAGGTGCCATGCTACAGTTTTAACATCATGAAATACAAGTACAAAACACTGTACAAGTATACTTTTTACTACATGGAGACAGAATAATACATTTGTGTTTTTACCAAAATCTGTAACACCCAGTATGAACCACTGCACCAATGGCTTTCCACAGGGATTTTCTACTATTCCTATGAGGTTTGATCATGAATAAAAAAGCTCACAAGTCTTTTCAACCACTGCAGATTTATATTTATCTTAATATTCCTGTTCAGCTGCTTTGGAGAACTGTTAAGAAATACAAAATTGCTTAGCCAAGGGTTTTGAGTGGGTAATTTTGTTATTTCATGTTGGCTGAGATCTCCCTTATGTTGGCATTGCAAAGACACTGTACACTTACAGGAGGTAAGAAAAAGCGTTGTCTCAATAGCCCTCTTACTGTTTAGGAAGGCAAATTACCATTTCCTGAAAAGTACAGAATATTATAATAGTTATTGGCTAAGCAGTAATTTGTGAAACTCCACTTACATAAGACAAATAACTGTAACAAAGGATCATAAAGCCCCACATGTACTAAAGAAAAACAAGTTTGCAAACACTCAAACTGATTTGTTTTTCCTACTTCTAAACTGGTTTAACCACATCAAGTGAGAGTAACATCAGCCAAAAGAGAAAAAGTAAAACGTGCTAAAGTGTCCAGAATTCAGCTTCCATAGCATACCTCACAGTTTTAAGCCATTTCAGGTAGGACTTTTCTTATGACTAAAAAACAAATATAAAAGCAGCATTTACTTTGTTGGAAATGCGAAAAAAATTACAATATTTCTAATTTCATAAAATATTTGAAACTAATTTTGTTTTTATAAATAAAATGGTTTATCTTTTTTTAAAGTTTTAATTATCATTCTTGCTGTTAAGAAATCATTCAAAGTTACGTCAACCTTTAAGGATAAACTTTGGGGTATTTAGAATAACATGTTTGGAAAACTGAACCACATTTTTAATTGTCATCATTATGCTTTGTTCTTGGTAGAATCATCTTTGTTTCTTCTTTTTACATCCCAATTATAAACCCTGGCCATATCTGTAAGAATTGTCAAAGAAAACGCAAATCCAATTCTAAAGACAACATAGTTAATGACCAAGTAGTCACTCACACACTGACTCAAAGACAGTATAGCTATAATATCATTTGATAAGAAAACACTAGAACTAAATTTCATCAAAACCAAGCCAAAGCCTCAAATCAACAAGTGTTTATCATATTTAGTCAACTATGGTATTAAACAGACATATGCTTGACACTGTCAACAATTTTAAAGAAAGCCCCTCATCCATAAAATTTCAAAGATTGTTCAAACCATATCCTGACACATATTTAAATTAGTGCAATTTAATTATCAATAATTTTATCTCTTATCCTCCCTTCAGTTTAACAAGACATTCCACTCAATTTATTAAGCACCACCCTGAATAGGCCCTCGTATATCAATTATTTCTTCCATGGATCATGCCTTGGGTGTTATATCCAAAAAGTCATCACTGTACTCAAGGTCATCTAGATTTTCCCCAATGTTACCTTCTGGGAGTTTTATAGCTTTTTTTCCTCTGGATGAAGTCTCCGCATTACCAGTCACACACCAACTCCTGCTCTAGGCCTCAAACAGACCTGCCTTCCCTCACTCAAGCACTCAGTGCCTGCTGCATACTACTACATGCTGTGGAGAAGAGAGAGAAAGTACAGCTCCTACACTTGAAGAGCTCCCAGTTTGGCATGGAAAACAAATAAAGCACCATGTGCAAAGTGCCAAGTAAGCACAGAGGAACAACAAAACACCCTGAGAGGATTAGAAAATGTTGAGAAATGTTCTGATGCTTGAGCTGAAATATGAAGGATAAAAAAAGAGTAGCCCAGGTAAACAGGGAAATCATTCTAGGAAGGAGAAACAAAGTATGGAAATGCAAAGGGCATGGCACATTCGGGGGGTGAGGAGAATAACTGACTGGGGTTATTTGGAAACCAGAGTATACTGGGGGAGGGCCAGGGCAGGAAGAGGTCAGTAGCATGACGTAAGACTGGCTTGGGACACCTCACAGAGTGCCTAGATGCATACTTTACATGTAACAAGGAATCCCTGAAGAATAAAAATAAGATGTGTGATTCAGTAAATTCATGCTGGAGATAGTGTGAAGGACAGACGGGTGGAAAAGAGACTAGAAAACTACAAAGTCTAGGTTCTGGAAGGCCAAAACAAGAACAACGGCAATGGGCAGAAAGGTTTACGAGGGAAATTTGGCAAGAATCTGGAGACTGGTTGGCTCTTGGTGATGAAAAAAGAAGAGTGAAGGATGACCCCCAGGTTTCTGTTTTGGGTGATTATGTGGAGCCAATGACTGTGACAGGAATCAGGAAGAGAGACAGGTCAGAGAGGAAAGGCAAAGAGCTGGGTTTCAACACGCTTGCCCTCTCCCTTGACCAGAATACCCACCCCCGGCTTCTTCTCTCTGCTGATCTAAATCCTACACTGCCTTTAAAAACAGCCGAAGTTCTTTCTTCTTAAAGCCTTCTTTGAACTAATTCCAGCTCACATCTATCTTTCCCTAACTTTAAACCGCCTTGGTGTCACATACATGAAATGAACTTATCTTTTGCTACAAAATTATCATTTAACTGTTTTACACATGCAGTCATAATAGAGCGAGACTTTGCTACTCTTTTCCTTTTTTGTACTGATTCCCTGACCATCCTGTGCCCCATACAGCTTAGCAGAGTTGCAGGAACATAGGAGATCCTTAACAAATGCCTGTGGAATTAAACTGCCCAACTAGCTATGAAGGTGTCTTGAGAAAATATTTGAAAAAAAATGTTCATTCACTAATTTTTAATTTGCTATTTCCACACCTTCACACTTCAAATTCAGATTAATCTATGTACAAACTTACCTAAGTATTAGTTCCAAACATATTACTTACTACTCTCATAAAATCTCTAACTTCACATTAGTCTAAGAGTAAGGACATTCTTTTCATTAAAGCAATGCAAGCAACAATGTTAAAAACATCTTTCTCCTTTCCTCCCTTTTTTTTTTTAAGAAAGGATACTGACTTCTGTGGTAGTAAACTGATCTCGAAGAAAGTCAAGGTCTTCCTCAAGAGAATCAAGATTCTTCGTGGCAGTCGATAAATTCTTTTCCAACAATGCCTGAGCTTCGTCAATATCATATTCAAGCATTACATTAGCCTGAAGAAAGAAAATCACAACAATTACTCAACATTTACATGGTACTTTATAGCTCAGAACGGATGTTGGTGAACTATAGCCCTTGGGCCAAATCCAGCTGCTGTGTTTTGTCATAAGCTGTTTTACTGGAACTCAACTATTCTCCACTTGCTGACACTTTTGTGCCACAGTGGCAGAACTGAGTAGTTGTGACAGGCCATGTGGTCTGCAAAACCAAAAATATTTACTCTCTGGCCTTTTACAGAAAGTTTATTGACCCCTGGCTTAGACAATATATTTACATACATTATATCATTTATTCCTCATAACAACCCTGGTGAGGCAAGTTTTCTTCTTCTTTACAGTTAAGAAAATGGAGGCTCAGATAGGTCAGGTTGCCTATGCTCGCATACCTAGTAAGTAAATGGAAGAATCAGGATACGAACCAATATGTTTAGATACCAAATCCTATCTTTCTACTACCTCCATTGTGACTCTAAATAGTATTACATTTGCATCAACTTAAATAGTTGTTTCTGAGTTTAAGATACAATAATTTAAAAGTTTTGAAAGACATATACATTATCTACATTTGATCCAATAAGAAAAACAGTCAGCTTTTATTGTTCCCTTACTATCTCTGAGACATGCTAGGGTCAAAGGCAAAACGACTGCATCTGGAATTCTCGAGATCAGGCGTTATTGTTGAAACTTGGGGATCCGTCCACTGTGGAGGTGGGGAACAGTACCTTTCCCAGCTCTGAACTCCTCCTACCACCCGACTTACCACCGGGCATTTCCTGAACCACTTTCCTCATCTATCTGATAAATGGAATTTAAAAATTACTCAAAGGACTGTTGTAAGGATTAAATGAGATAACACGAAAGTGTTTGGCACAAAGTAAGTGCTACATAAATACTTATTGATTGAATAACACAATCCACGATAATTAGAAAAACTGTAGAAAAATTCAAATAGGACCAAAAATAATCAATGAAAAGTATATCTCTCCAATCCTAAACTCCCAATTTAATTCATCAATTACTGATGTTTCTTATTACTTTTTTTTTAGAAAATTCTATGAAATCATCTAAAGTTGAAATACATGGTTTAAAAAATGGACTCTAACAACCTCAATGCTTTTGTTAATAATCATTTTCCCCATTAAGTTTAGAGATCTTTCTAAAACTAATAAACTCTTATGGGGGAGAAACATTTACTGAGGTTCAGCAGCACCTTCTATTTTATTTCTATTGCTCTTCCTTCTGTTACATTTAAGAGATAAGGCAATAGCTGGAGGGGAAGTATGCTTTTGGTCAGTTTTTTTTTTGACTGGGAGAGACTTGAGCATGTTTCTGCAGCAATCTTCATCACACTCTTAATTCTAGTCAGTTTCTAATATGGACCACTTGAACTCCATCCATTTGCTCCTTCCGCAGTCAAAGGGAGATGAGCACTTTACACAGCTCAAACAATACTGTTGGAGTGGGAAAAACCACTGGTTTACAAACGTCAGCTACGAAAGCTGCAGCTATTACATTTACTTACCCCCAACCACAGACACACTTTATCAGTAGGAGGAACTGAAGCTTTGCAATACAGATTATCTGCCAGTAAGAATCTGGTCTCCAGTGAATTGGTAGACTCCTTCAAAAAAATGACAGTACTGTAAACAGGCCAGTTTAATACCAAGGATACAAAGGAGAGACTGGAGAGCTGAACCTAAGCCATTTAAAACAGTATCATCATACAGACTAAGTGTAGTGGTAAAAGAAATGAATGCTGGAGCCAGATGGCTGAGCACAGAGGGCATGGATTCTGGCTCAGCTACTTACTACCTGTGTAATTTTGGCACATCACTTAACTTCTCTGTGTCTCAGGTTCCTCATCTGTAAAATGAGGATAACAACAGTCCCTACACCTCTGAAGCTGTGCATGAGTACACACACACATACCCCCTCCTCAGGGCCTGGCACAGAGTAAGTGCTATACAAGAGTTAGCTATGATTATCAGTTCATCAGTGCTTCATGCCCAACCAACCAATTTTCCAAAGTCTCTTACAAAATTCACCATATAAAATAACGTAATAGGAATGTGGATATTCTACCAGTCAAGTAATAAATTATATATGTACATATACACATAATCTTTTAAATATAATATGCTTATGAAATTTAATCTTTGCAACCTGCTTTTATTTAATAAGTATCAGATTAAGATTCAAAAGATCCTCAAATCCAGTTCTGCCAGTAACTAGCTATGTGAAACTGGCCAAGTATAACCTCTCTCTGTTTCCTCAACTGTGAAATGAGAACCTGAAACATAATATCTAAGATTCCCCCCAGTTCTATAAGTCTTGGAGTCACTCCTTAATCTTAGAGAGAACAAGAGCAACAACAACAAAAACCCTTAGATGCTGTTACCTCAAAATAAGACATTTTCTTTTGGTACCTAAAATAATTTCAAATTGCATTTAAGTTTTGCAAATACTATATTTAAGTAAAATAATCCATAAAGTGTGGGCCCTAGAATTAAACCTGACTTTGGGGGGAAAGTCACAAAGCCACATTTATCATGGAAGCATACTGTCTGTAACATCAGTGCATGTGCTCAGGCAGACTGGAGCTTCCAGCACAGATCAAATACCAGTACCAAAGAGTCAAGGAAGACACATCTCTGCTGAAGTATCCTGGTTCGCTCTTATTTAGAAACAAAAATGCACTTACTTTTTTCTTCTGCATGTACTTTAGAATTTCTAAAGTCTGCTTAATTTCAGGAATCTGACCTTTTAGCCTGTGAATAAGAAAAAGGTTAGCTTAGTATTTTGCAGGCAAGAATAAACACCAGGACAGAGTCTTACTAGCTTCACATCTTCTGTTGTCATGTTTTTGTGAACTATTTACAAATATAAAATATTAAAAATATTTAATAAATTTTGTTTCTTAAAATATCTAAAATATTTCAGATATATTTAATAAAACATTTAGATGTAACAGCAAATGTTTATGGAATGCCTATTGTGTACAAATCCCTGTTCTATATGTCAAACACCCCATCGTTATTTAACATTTCTAGAGCAAACCACATTCCAGAGGTGATTCAAGGTTCTGCATTTGATTAGAATTGCATTTAAACAGATTTTTTAAATAACATGCATTCAAATATTATATTCTAAATTCAAAACCACTGGAAACCACCAAATCCCTATCACGTGCTCCTGCTCAGTGCACTCACTGCACAGACATGTACATCACAGTCAGCTAAATGCCAGCAAAGTACAGTGACAGCTTCTCAGGGCTTGTGCTTCTCACACTGCAAGAAATGTGCAATATCACCAGAATACCTAACACACCACATTCTGATATAGTATAGTTTAGTGATTCTTTTAAATTTTGGGTAATGTTTCTTTAACTTTTATGTTGATAAATGCTATTTTCAAGTTAGGTAAGAACTGCTCTTAAAATTATGAATGGATCACTGGTTTCAACACAAGAAATGAAAGAAAACGATGTTGGGCAGGATGAAACTGATCAGACTCAACAGGTAAGTTATATTATAGCAAAACTACTAGCCTGGAACAACTGGACATCCATATGCAAAATAATGAATCTAGACAGACCTTATATACTTCATAAAAATTAACTCAAAATGGACTATAGACCCAAATGTAAAATGCAAAACTATAAACCTCCTAGAAGATAACACAGGAGAAATTCTAGATGACCCTGAGTGTGGCAATGACTTTTTAAATACAACACCAAAGACACAATCCATGAAAGAAATAACTGATATGCTGGACTTCATTAAAATTAAAAATTTCTCAGGAGTGACATCAGCATCAAGGTGGAGTGAGTTCTCTAGTTATCTCTCCCCTCCACCACACAGCGGAAAAGACATTCACACTCCAACAGAGGACATCCTAACACAACACAAAAACGACAGAGAGACCCACGCAGCCATATGATGGAGGGCAGAGAGGCTGGAGCCCCCCTCAGAGGAGGTGAAACAGGGTAAGAGAAAACTTCACACCCTCCCCAAAAGACTGGGATCCAGGACAGTGGGGCCTCCCAGAGGGAAGAAACAGGGGAGGGGACGTTCATTCACCAGAATATCAAAGATCCTTAAAGGCCCTCACAGCCTAGGGGAAAGCCCCTACCGAGGTAAAAGCTAATGTGGAGGTGACCACATCAAGCCAACACCCAAGGAGAGCAGATAGCAAGGGCAGAGCGAGAAAACCCCAAGAGCATGCAGAAGAAAGCATCCCTCCCTGCACCTGCCCAACACCAGCTCCAGTGTCTGGGATCCTGGCAGAATGCAGAGGACTAAGAATAAATGGCTCTTGACCATTTATTCTTTTTTACCCAGTGGGAAAAAGCGGTAACTGAGCCCAAACAATACCACGATGTGCAAAAACAGAGCCACGCCCTCTAACAGTATCAAAAATTATATTAAATGTCCAGACCAGAGAGAAAATGACAAGTACCCAGAAATCAGTCCTGAGGACACAGAAATATGTAATCTAAATGACACAGAATTCAAAATAGCTGTCATAAAAAAACTCAACGAGTTAAAAGAGAATGTAGAGAAACAAGTCAACGAGTTCAGGAGCTACTTCACAAAAGAGACTGAAACTATAAAGAAGAACCACTCAGAAATATTGAAGAGGAAAGACACAATGGAAGAGATAAAACAAAATATGGATTCCCTGAATGCTCTAGTGGACATTATTATAGAGGAGCAAATCAGCATAATCGAGGATAGACATATTGAAATGCTCCAGATATAGGAGGAGAGAGAACCAAGACTAAAAAGAAATGAAGAAAGTCTTTGAGAAATATCTGACTCAATTAGGAAATGCAATGTTAAGGATTATAGGTGTTTCAGAGGAAGAAGAGAAGGAGAATGGAGCAGAAAACTTGTTCAAAGAAATAACAGCAGAGAACTTCCCAAACCTGGGGAAGGGGATGGAAACCCATGTAGAAGAGGGTACCAGATCTCCTAAATATGTCAATGTAAAAAGATCTACTGAAAGGCATATAGTAGTGAAACTGGCAAAAGTGACTGACAAAAATAAGGGCAGCAAGGCAGAAGAAAATAACCTAAAAAGGAACCCCTATCAGGCTTTCAGAGGATTTCTCTGCAGAAACCTTACAGGCTAGGAGAGACTCAAAGGACATATTCAAATCTTTGAAGGACAAAAACTTTCAGCCAAGAATACTCTATCCAGTGAAAATATCCTTCAAATAGGATTGAGAAATAAAAACTTTCCCAGATAAACAAAAGCTAAGGGAGTTCGTAGCCACAAGACCCCCCACCCCCGTCAAGAAATCCTCAGGAAGGCCCTCATACCTGAAAAAAAAGGGAGAAAGAGGTTACCAAGCACAGAATATAAAGATAAATAGGTAGACAGAATCAGGAAATTGTAGCTATACATCAGAAAAGGTTAGCAAATACTAATGGACTATCTTATCTACGAGACTTTGAATACAAACCGCATGGTAACCACTAAACAAAAAGCAGAACAGAGACACAAATAATAAATAAGGAGAAAACAAAGAAACACAAGATAAAAAACTACATAACTCAATTGGTAGACCAAAACACACTGGACGAGAAACAAAGGAAATGCAGGAGAACCGGAAAACGAGTGATAAAATGGCAGCATTAAGCCCTTATATATTGATAATCACCCTAAATGCAAATGGATTGAATTCTCCAATAAAAAGACACAGAGTGGCGAGACGGATTAAGGAACAAGACCCAACAATATGCTGCCTCCAGGAAACACATCTCAGCTCCAACAACAAGCACAGGCTCAGAGTGAAGGGATGGAAGACAATACTCCAAGCTAATGGCAAACCAAAGAAAGCAGGTGTCACAATACTTATATCGGACAAAATAGACCTCAAGATAAGGCAGGTAAAGAGGGACAAACAAGGGCAGTATATAACGATCAAAGGAACACTCCAGCAAGAAGAAATAACACTTATAAATATCTAAGCACCCAACACAGGAGCACCAAAGTTCATAAAGCAAATATTAACAAACCTAAAAGAAGATATTAAAAATAACACAATAATAGCAGAGGACCTCAACACTCCAGTCACATCAATTGATAGATCGGACAGAAAAATCAACACAGAAACAGTGGAATTAAATGAAAAGCTAAACCAGTTGGATTTAATAGACATATATAGAGCACTCCATCCAAAAACAGCAAAATATACATTGTTCTCAAGCGCACATGGAACATTCTCAAGGATAGACCACATGTTGGGAAATGAAGCAAGCCTCAATAAATTTAGGAAAATTGAAATAATGAGAAGCATCCTTTCTGATCACAATGCTATAAAGCTAGAAATTAATTACAAAAAGAAAGCTGAGAAAGGGACAAAGATGTGGAGACTAAACTACATGCTACTGAACAACCAATGGATCATTGAAGAAATTAAAGGAGAAATCAAAAAATATCTGGAGACAAATGAAAATGATAACGTACCATACCAACTCATATGGGATGCAACAAAGTGGTACTAAGAGGGAAATTCATCACAATACAGGCACACCTTAACAAACAAGAAAAATCCCAAATAAGCAATCTCAAACTACAGCTAATTATAAAAAGAAGAACAAACACAACCCAAACTCAACAAGAGGGAAATAATAAAAATCAGAGCGGAAATAAATGCTATTGAAACAAAAAAGGCGATAGAAAAGATCAATGAAACAAAGAGCTGGTTCTTTGAGAAGATAAACAAAATTGACAAACCCCTAGGCAGACTTACAAAGAAAAAAAGAGAAAAAGCTCAGATAAACAAAATTAGAAATGAGCGAGGAGAAATAACAATGGATACCACAGAAATACAACAGATCATAAGAGAACATTATGAAAAACTATATGCCAACAAAATGGATAACCTAGAGGAAATGGATAAATTCTTGGACTCCTACAATCTCCCAAAGCTCATTCAAGAAGAAGCAGACAATTTGAACAGACCAATCACAAGTAAAGAGATTGAAACAGTAATCAAAAGCAGCCCCAAAAATAAACGCCCAGGATCAGACGGCTTCCCTGCAGAATTCTATCAAACTTTCAGAGAGGATTTAACATCTATCCTTCTCAAGCTATTCCAAAAAAATTAGGGAAGATGGAATGCTTCCTAACACATTCTACGAGGCCAACATCATTCTGGTACCAAAGCCTGACAAGGACAACACAAAAAAGGAAAACTACAGGCCAATATTGCTGATGAACATAGATGCAAAAATTCTCAACAAAATATTGGCAACTCAAATACAGCAATACATTAAAAGGATCATACATCAAGATCAAGTGAGATTTATACCAGGGACACAGGGATGGTTCAACATCTGCAAATCAATCAGTGTGGTACACCACATCAACAAATTGAGGAATGGAAACCACATGATCATCTCAACAGATGTGGAGAAAACATCTGACAAGATCCAACAGCCATTTATGATAAAAACTCTTAACAAAATGGGGATAAAAGGAAATTACCTCAACATAATAAAGGCCACATATGACAAACCCACAGCCAACATCATACTCAATGGGGAAAAACTGAATGCCATCCTCTGAGAACAGGCACAAGACAGGATGCCCACTCTCACCACTCTTATTCCACGTAGTACTGGAGGTTTTGGCCAGAGCAATTAGGCAAGCCAAAGGAATAAAAGGAATCCAAATAGGGAGTGAAGAAGTGAAACTCCCGCTGTTTGCAGATGACGTGATCTTATATATGGAAAATCCTAAAGAATCCATCAGAAAA